CACTTACAAGGGAAATTTAAAAACAACTCAGAAAAGAGCAAACCAGGCTTGCAGAGATTGTCCCGAGCCTGTGGAGCTTGGGAGGCGTGGGGTTTAATTGAACTGCTGGCTCCACACACAGGGCACAGGCCACAGCTGAGGGAGGTCTCGTGACTAGCCGAGCTGGCAGCAAGCAGTTGAGTGGGGGAGAAATGGGGGGGTTCTACAACCAAACGTTGGACTCCAGATGAAGGTGTAAGTCACAGACAATCCCACACCAGTTTGGAATTATGATTAATAGAATGGTTATTTATTCAAAGGGGAAAAAACTTACAGATTACCATCCCAGACAACAGCCCCTCCGCGTGAACAGGAAAGGAGTCTAGGAGCCGGAAGCGGAGCCGGAAGCCAAAAAGGGAGTGGAGGACAGCCGCTGCTTTTTTTAAAGAGAGAGAGACCACGCCCCAATGGGCTGGTAACTCAGCGGCGATTGGCTGAAGGAGCGGAAGGAGCTCCCACAGCAAGTCGGCAGCTGCAGCTAATGGGAACGGTTGCACCGCTTAAAATGCGGAACATCTAAAGTTCTTCGTGCAAGTTGTATTGGGAAGATTTTTAGCTATAAATAGCTGAATACAAAGCCTAGAGCAAATAAGGCACTTATTCTTTTCTAGTAAGAAGCTGTAATAATGGTGGCTATTGGTGTTTGCTTGCCTTCACTGGTACCAGGGCTGGAGTTCTCGGTCCATTTCCGTCCTCATTCCAGCGTAGCTCTCTAGTGCCACAGAGCTCTCTCCGTGCTCAGGGAGGGAGAATGAGAGGAGGGAATGGGACATCCATGCTTTCAAGGAAAATTTTCTCAGAGCTTCTAGTAAATTGTTGTTCCTATATTACTGTCTTCACTATAATTATGGCCTTGAAAGAGTCAACATCAGTTCAACATCTCTGTTAGTGTAGGCAAGCTACGAAGAGTCTTGTGCTGAATTCCCACTCTGTTGCATGAGGTCCACCTCAACGTAGGATTTTGTCTATAGTGCTGTTCTTCCATATGGTATTACATAGTATTAGTCTGCTATTTACATGAAGTATATTTTTAGATGTGTCCACAGACTTGGACTTAAATTTCTTAACCACCAAGCCATCTCTCTAGCCCCTTGAACTTATATTCCAATCTTGCTTTTTGGTTTTAAGATGAGAGGCAGACTGGAATAAGGCAAGGAAGGTTCCAAGTGTGCCAAAATTTTCCTTACTTTGTTTAGAATATCTGTCTTGATTTTCTTGTAGTTCAGATCCTTGTAGTTCAGATGTCCCCCAAGGCTTGTGTGTTGTAGAATTGACAACAGTGGGTGTAGCAGTGTAGGATGTGGGCACGTGTGCCCTCCTAGCATCACCCATCTTATGGTTACGTGAGTGGTCACCTCACCTGTTCTAAGTAAACACTCGCGTAAAAGCGTGCTGGGCCTTTGCTCTAGTCATACTTCCTTCCTCACAGTGACTCTCCTTTTTTTACATACTTGGAAATAATGCATCTGTGAACTCTGACCCAGAACATAAAAGCCCAGGAGGATCTAATTAATACAGGAGGATCCTGCTCTTTGTTCCTTTGTTGGATTTGTGGGTCTTCAATTTTGTGTTTTGTCCTTTTCTGTTCCTTTGTTCTAATATAAAAAGATCATTTTATTTTTTTTTTGTTCTATGATTTTTTTCTTCTCTTTTTTCAACCGCTCTATTTAAAAAAATAAAAACCAAAAACCTGAACTATGCCTATGATCTAATAGTTTTGTCTAGTTGTTTTGTGTGTTTTCCCAAACTCCTGGCACTCTTTTGTTCATGACAGTGGTTTTGCCTTTGTCTCTAAAGGTCATTAAGGTTTGATTTTCTTTTTCCTTAAAAATTTACTCCCTGATACTTTGTCTTTTGCTGAATTTTTGACTAACATATTCATTTTCTTTGGCTCTTGTGTTTTTCTGATACAGGTTTTCAGCAATATGTTCTTATCTTTATTCATGTTTAAGAACCAGAAACTGAGCTGCGAGGTGGTGGTGTGTGCCTTTGGTTAATCCCAGCACTCAGGAGACACAGATGACAGATCTCTATGAGTTCTCCACCAGCCTAATCTTTACAGTTAGTTTCAGGCCAGCCAGGACTACATAATGAAACCTTGTCTCAAGCAGATTCTGTGTTAAACAGAACAAGTGTGTGTGTGGGGGGGGCATAGCATGACTGCTGGTGGATCAGTGTGCAAGTATCCACTGGGGAGATTTGTGACGTGTCGGTTTGGCTGCTCATTCATGTTGGAGTGCTTGATTTCTTTGTAGGAAAAGCATACAGTGCTTATAAACCGTTTTTACAAAGAGTATTTTGTATCATTTTCTCAAATGTAGTTTTTAGAAATTATAATCTTCACACATATGTACTCTCCCATTGTCAACATGATGTCATACTTACAACCTACAGATCAAATGAAGTAATGACCTTACAGTGTGTGACAGTTGAGAGATGGCTATACTGGAAGCTTAAGAAGTGATTCGTGTGTCTGTGTCTGTGTGTTTGCAGAGGATGAGCGTTGTAAACATAGACCCTTGTTGTATGTGACGTTGTTGTTAGTATGTGTTGGAAGAGGTCGCCAGCTGCTCAGCCCCGAAATAATCACACAGAAACTGTATTAATTAAATCACTGTTTGGCCCATTAGCTCTAACTTCTTATTGGCTAACTCTTAGATCTTAATTTAACCCATTTCTAGTAATCTGTGTATTGCCACATAGCTGTGATTTACCGGGTAAAGTTCCATCTGGCTCCCAGAGGATACATGGCTTCTCCTGACTCTGCCCTTTCTCCCAGCATTCAGTTTACTTTTCCCTACCTACCTAAGTTCTGCCCTATCAACAGGTCAAGGCAGTTTCTTTTTTCATTAACGGTAATCACAGCACACAGAGGGAAATCCCACATCAAGTATGTGAGTTCTCAAATTAGCCAGCAGGAAAAAGGAAATTCAGCACTCAGGAGGCTGTAGTAGGAAGATTGCAAGTCAGCCTGGGCTACATAACAAAACCCTTTTCCAATAACAATATAATGTAAAATTGTGTCTTCATTAATATGGTTGTTTTGTCTTGGGGGGTAAGGGCTGAGATCATTATAAACAGGGTTTTCACTATTTTCATCTGATAGAATACTTTGAATTATGTAAGAAACAGTACAGACTTTCATATTTTAGGGTTTACAACACCCAGATGTTGCTAAAAATTACTTCCCAGGGGGAGACATAAATAGTGGCTGTCCGTTCTCGTCAGTTCCCAGTGACAAACCGAGGCATGATTCCACCAAAGTTCCCTCTGGGAAACCAGTGAGTCTTGGGCTAACTTACAGATGAGGGGTTACTTTCAGGGTGTGGGTGATCCCCCACAGCAGGCCTTACCTGGAAAGCCTTTACCTGGTAGTGATCTTGCCCATAGTCACATACATGGAGCCTCCTTCTCCTAGTTTTCCCTGGCCTCTGTCCTCCAGCACTCCCTGTAGGTGTCTCCTGGTGCAGTTAAGGCAGAGTTGCATACAGAAGGTTGCAGAGCTGCTGGATACTCAGGTCTTGAGGTCCTCCTTAGCTCTCCACAAGGGGTGTAAGCAGTCAACAAGCCCAAATGGGATGACCTTTTGCAAGAGGACACAGCTAGACTTCCCAAGATGGTGATCGCTTGGCTCTGATGGTCACTCACAATACCAGTGTTCTGGCCTCGACCTCTAAATACCAGTTTATTGTCATGGTAAGGAATATTCCTCCACATTTCCAAAGTGTCCCTTGAGTGCACTACTCTTGCTACTTTAGAAGAAAGGAATGTGTACTATTGGCAAGACTAATGTGACCAGAGTCCCTGGGAGAAGCTAGGGAGTGGTGAGATGGCTCAGCAGGTGAGCTTGCTTATCACCAAGCCTCACAGTTTCAGTGTGATCCTCAATATTTGTTTCAGAATTCTGTGGTCAGTGAAACACTTTCTTAAGGCATTACGTTCCATGACTTTTGGCTAGACGTAAGTAATACCTTCCTTGCTGGCCTTACATAGTTTCTGTGGGTAGCAAAGGAGCTATCAGTGTGCTTGCCCTTTGTACCCACTAAGTGGTTCTCTGTATTATTCCCTGTGTTTCAAAGTTGACTTTAAGTATGCTTCCTTATCTATAATACTTATGCTACTTCTTTTATGAGGCAAGTATCATATCCAAATGCAAATGTAAGAATGTAAGTAAAAGTTCTTAGGAAATTATAAATTCCTGTGAAATACAAGACTTTTAAGAATCAGAAGTTCACTGTAGCTGAGGCTGGCCTCAAATTTACAGACTTTCTGCACAGGCCACAGTATCCAGCAGATAGTCTTTTTTTTTTTCTTAATTTTTTTAATCAGAGCAAAATTGCATCAGCCATTTCTTTCCCAGAAGGTTTCCTGGTATGCCGGCTTTTACTGTCTTTTGGGCCCTCTTCTGCAGTGTTCCCTGAAGCATAGATGCTTGAGTTGTAATGTGGACATACCTATTGGGCCAGCAGATACTCATAATAATATTTAATCATCAAATTCTCTATATCAGATAATCTTGATAAATGAGGTTTAAATTCTAATGATCTTGAAAATGCTCATTGTGTACAGTATGTTGCGGTCTTTCCTGGTGTTTGCTCTGTGGTGGGAGTTCTGTTAGAGCATTTTCAAAGTGTTAGGAGCTAAACATTGTCAGTCTGCTTTTCTGTTCCTACTACTAACATCTACTTCATAGAAAGTATGGGGGGCACTAAGTGAGCTTCCTCATCCTAGGGGAGAAATTTGCGTTAGTCTTCAGAGTCCTTAGACATATTCCTCACACCTCTGTTTGCTACTTTATTCTTTCAGCACTGCCTTCTGTTTACTACTCTCATTTTTAAAAATATTCTGGCAAAAAAGAAAATTAAGACAAAAAATATGCTTTAATTAATAGTATAATTGCTTTAGTTGTGTTACTAGCATTTGGTTTTAAATATTCAGGCTTGATCTTTGTCTTATTCTAGGATGGCTGGTTTCGGATAGCTGAGAATATGGGATTTCAGTGCCTAAAGATTGAAAGCAAGGATCCTCGGCTAGATGGAATCGACTCACTTTCTGGAACTGAGATCCCCTTGCACTATGTCTGTAAGCTGGCCACTCACGCCATCCACTTGGTGGTCTTTCATGAGCGGAGTGGCAACTACCTCTGGCATGGTCACCTGCGACTCAGAGGACACATGGACAGGAAGTTTGTTCCTTTTCGGAAGTTACAGTTTGGTCGTTATCCTGGAGCTTTTGACAGGTACGTCTAAGACAGCGAACAGTAATGAATCAATAATATCATGTGTTTATATTTATATATACGCATATATACTCATCCAGTGAAGTATTGTACCTCAGGAAAACCTGCTGCACGTCTGCAACAGCGTGAATGAGTCCTGCAATACTGAGTGTCTCACACAAGGCAGAAAAGAACAATAGTATATAGTCATGCTGTGTTCATGGACATATTTAAAATTGAATAAAGGTGCTAAGAATAGTAAGAAAAGTTATTCCCAAACAAGATAGAATGTATGCCTAGAGAGTAGAGAGGGAGTTATTGAGTGGGGTACACAGAGACCTCCAGGGGAGCTGTGATGAAGATGCAAACACAAATGCTTGTGACTCATTACTTTGTGCCTTTATGTCTTAGGTGCGTGTTTGCGTGTGTGTGTGTGTGTGTGTGTGTGTGTTTATTTTCCCTGGGTCCTGAGGTGGTGACTCAGACATGTAAATCCTAGCACTCGGGAGCTGAAGCAGGAGAGCTGCAAGCAGCAGATGAGGCTGAGCTAGCTAATAAGTTGCAGGGCAGCCTGGCTGTCATTGTGGAACCCTGCCTCAGAAAACCAAGACAAATCACAGGACTAAAATTAATACTCTGTAATCGTCTGTCCTCAACTATCACAGTAATAAACACTGCTGGCGAGGACAGGCACTTTAGGAGACGCGTGTGATACCGAACTGTGAACATCAGCTTTCTGACCCCAGGTCGTACTTCTCTCTCCTCGGAAGTCATTAATGATGATGCTGTAATCTGGCTGGAACACTGGAACCTGATGTAAATATAGACTGAATGTTTGTCCTTTGCCTTGACATTTATCATGCTTATAAGAGTTTTCATGTCAAAGCCTTTTGCGAGCACTTTCAGGGAAACATTGTTATGTTTAGACTGTAAGCCATGCTTATTTTTGTTTCCTCATAGTGTTTAGTAACACACGTGTGAGAAACGGCTGAATGGATGTTCACAGCTGGAGATGTCAGGAATAGAAGTAGGCTCTGAGAGACAGTCTGTTGTCAGTGTTATGTCCGTTATTTTTGCCTAAAATCTTAGCCATTATTCATGTTTATGCACTTTTTTCTAATTTGTGTTTCAAGGGGTTTTTTAAAGGAAGTTAAAAAAGTTTAACTTCCTTTAAAAGTTTAACTTTTAAAGTTTAACTTTTAAAGTTTAAGTTTAACTTAAAAAGTTTTTAAAGGAAGTTACTTAGTTCTTTGAGGTATTAAAAGTTTATATCAAAGTTTAGCTAATAATTTAGTTAGGTTCAAAATCACCAACCAGCAAATAGCTTGTAAGTATAATGTGTGCTAGGAGATAAAGCCTTCTGGACATTTTCAGTTTTACACAGAGGATTAGAAAGTTCTCGAGAAATATTCATAGAAGGTGGGTTCCGGATATCTTTGCCGTCAATGAGGCTCCCAAGTTTCTGCAGTTTGCTCGGTATTTCTTAGCTGTAAGAACTATTTTCTTCTCTAAAATTAAACTGGTAACTGTAAATGATGTTCGACTTTCACTTCTACTTAAAATGTCAAAGTATCTATAAAACTATTTTAGATGCATTACACCAGGACTGGCGGCACAAGCCTGTAATCCAGCTACATGAAGACTGAAGCAGGAGGATTGCAAATTCAGTGCCATCCTTGGAAATTTAGGGAGACCTTGTCTCAAAAAAAAAAAAAAAAGAGGAATGGGGTACGGCTCGGTGGAAGCATGCAGAAAGCCCTAGGTTCAATCCATCGAGCCATTCCCCTCTCATCCCCAAATTTAGCTGCATTAATGAAAAATACTTAAAACTAAGGTTGTGTGTTGCTATTGGATGTTGAATTTTTAAGGCCCTAATAAAGCTGCTGATTGGTACCTGAAGCACTGAAGGAAATTCATTTGATGGTTATTTCCTTTGCTGATGCTCACTATTTTAAAGGCTGCCTGTGTTCTGGATTAAATCTTGATAGTAAATCTTAGCTTTTGTTTTTAGGCCAGAGTTGCAGCAGGTTACCATTGATGGGCTGGATGTGCTGATTCCAAAAGACCCAGGACACTTTCTAGAAGAAGTGCCACGCTCCAGATTTATCGAGTGCAGGTATAAAGAAGCTCGGGCGTTCCTTCAGGTTAGAGACAACCAAATAATGTACTTCTAAATTAAAGTAATGAGAATATTACGCCTCGTTTAGTTTTTAAGAGGAAATGAAGATGGTTTATGCAAAACAGGATAAAATGTCTTGTAAGTTGATCTTTCTTCATCCTGCTTTTGTTCTTCTCATTTAAAGTTAAAACCTTCATTTTTTTCCCCTTGTGCTTAACATGCACAAGGCTTGAGTTTTATTTCTACCACCACATAGATCAGACGTGCTAGCAGGCGCCTTTAATCCCAACACTTGGGAGAAAGAGGCAGAGGGTTGAAGGTGATATTCCACTACCGAGTGAGTTCAGAGGCAGCCTGGGCCAATAAGACCCTATCTCAAAAAGGAAAACGTAAGTTCTACTGACTGTTATGGCAAGTATGAAACCCAGCCTCCGGCCAGCTAAGGCCAAAGCTCTCAATTAGAAAGCAATCCCTGGGCTTCATACACACACACACACACACACACACACACACACTTTTCCTTCCCTGAATGGGGAGTGGCCATGTATTTATTGCTTTGTTTTATTAGATCCTGATAGAATTAACACTGGCTTCATCCCACAGTTTTGATAGCTCGTAGGCTTTATTTTAATAGCGCTTTTTTTTTCCTTTAAGAAATGACTTAGAATATAACTACAAAAGAAGGACCCTGTGGATTTAGAAAGACTTAATGAAAATAGGGATTTTTTTTTTTGTCAGACGCACTAAATATGAGTGTGTGAGTCTGTTTGGCAAAATGTTAAACAAGTGCTTTACAAAGACCAGCTGAATTTTCAGCTTTTTCTCTGCCGTTCTAGCTTTCCGGCTTCTGACTGTAGCAGTGTGACGGGTATAAATGTCCAGCTGTGGTAATGACATGAAACCAGAGATCCCGGGAAAACTGTGACTGTGGGGATTTGGTTCCCTAATTCTTCTACTTGCCCTTTAGTTTCTGGAGTTCCCTGGCCAAAGACTGGCCTGTAGGAAAGTCTGTCAGGCATTTTCTTAACTAACATGGGAGGGTCAGCCCCTGCGCAAATGACTCTGGGTTGTGAAAGACTCACAGCTAAGCAAGGCAAGTCAGTAAGTAGCATTCCTTCATGGTTTTGGCTTCAGTTCTTTTTTGGTTTTGTTTTCTTTTGAGTTTGGGGTTTTTGTTTTGTTTTGTGTTTTGTTTGTTTGGTTTTGTTTGGATTTTTTTTTTGAGACAGAGTTTCTTTGCCTAACCCTGGCTGGAACTTGCTCCGTAGCCCAGGCTGGCCTTGCCTCTCCCTCTGGAGTGCTAAGATTAAAGGCGTGCTCCGCTGCTGCCACCACCACCCAACTCTGAGTTTCAGTTCTTACCTTGAGTTCCTGCCCTGACTGCCCTCGGGTAGGGACTGTGACTAGGAGTTGTGAGGTGAATTAAACCCCTCCCCCAACTTGCTTTTTGATCATAGTGCTTACCACAGCAATGGAAAGCAAATTAGGACAAATCGAATGAGAAGCTGAGTATTAGCTTCTTTATTGCTGCCCAGTATCCAAGACTGAAATAAAAGGGCTCTCAGATACTGTAGGCTGAAGCCCAGGACCTAAGCCTGTCAGCCCAAGTGGTTACTATAGGACTGTCAAGTCTTCTGAGCTTCCTGGGTGAGAAGGTAGAAGGCATCATGTGTGGATAGGCCTGTTCTGTAGGCAAGCTCTGCCTCCACCACAGCGTAATAAGAAGTAGAAGTGATGGAGTTTGCTGCTTCCTGCCCTAAGGGCATTGCCCACCTAAGGGCATTGCCATAGCAGTTACCACAGTGAACTGTGAGTGTCTCTCACCCTGTGAGACACTTTTAAATTCTGTGAGCTTATTATAAGGCCCCTTATTTTATGCACGGTAGTCAGTTGCTCCCACGCCATTATGATGCCCAGCTTGTTTCTCCCTCCTGCCATGGTGCTGATACTATTACTGATGGGGATCACCTAAGGGCTTGGTAATGTTTTTTATCTTTATCCTGTTACGAGTTTCATTCTTTGTTTCTTATGTTAGAACCACAAGTAAATTTTCAAATTAAAGTTAACTTACACTCTTTTGAACACTTGATGGCGCCAAACAGTCTGAAATGAAATGAAATGCGCAGTATGGTTATAGCAATGAATTAATCCAATTTTTCAAAAACCTGGTAGCCTCCTAGCTTTCTCATTAATTTTAATAATATTTTTTTGAAAGCAGTATCAGACTTACATAACAGTTACAATACACAGTTGTTTTGTTTTGTTTCCTGGCACAATTGGGAGTTAGCCATAAAACAGCATCCTGAAGCCTCAAATAGCTTAGTATTTTCTAAAAGCCAGAATATTCTCTATATCTGAATACAAAAGTCAAAATTAACATACATTGCTTTTCCTCTCAATCTAACTATTTGTGGTAGCACATGCCTGTAATTTCTGTATTTGAGAAATCAGGGCAAGAGGATTGCCAAAAGTTCTAGACTTGCTAAGGCATCTAGCAAGACCAGTTTTAAGCATCACCAAGAAGCTCAATGAGTGAGTGACACCCAGAAAAGCTGTGTAGCGAGAGCTCTTACACAGCTCCCAGGGAGCACCAGCGGTGTCCCCACCCTGATAGCCTTGGGCGAAGCCTGTGGATCTTGCTGCTTTGGGGATTCCCTGTATCTTTTAGGTTTCATTTACTTCCTGAGTCCTGTGGCCTCCATTCTCCCTCTGGTGGCAGTGTTTAAGTCCAGAACATTAATGGTGTTCACCTCATTCATTCAGTGAAGTGGTAAATGCTTTTGCAACTTCCTGTTTTAATGAGTTGTAGCCCCTTTTATCATTATTTTAATCTTGCATATTTGACTGGTAGAAAACACTCACCACAGCTTCTATGCCTTTGCTTATCTCCAGCTTTCTTTATTTTTAGAAAAATATAGATATTCTACATTCATCTTTTGATTTTCTTGTCCCAGCCCTGGGTTCAGGCATTTCTCTGAGTCATGGGTTCTTGTAGAAACCAAGGTCTGGACAGTAGGTAGCATGTACATTGCTGTTTGGGTTTTGCTGTACACAGGCCCTCTCACTTAACAGGAACATTAGGCATATGTCTGTTATATGTTTATTTCCAAACCTGTTTGCTGAAATCTATAAATTCTAATCATTTTCCCCAGCCTGATTAAGTTGTAAGATCTAACCAGACAACACTGGATGCCCTATCAGGAGACCCATCACTGGAGAAAATGGATTGTCTCTCTTAGCAGCCATTAACTGCCTGTAGCTCTTCATCTAGGGTTGAGGCCTTGTAGAATTTCCCCCATCCACATTGTAATGTCGGCTGGTGCTGTCATTGTGTAGGGCTTGTTTAGATGACCATATCGTTAAGATTTGTAGGTGCATATCCCTGCTATCCATAGAGGGTACTAGCATAGCAGACATCCTGATCCCTTCACCTTTAGCGTCTTTCTGCCTTTCCATCGTGTTTCCTGAGACTTCGATGGAAAGATTGTGTTGTAGATGTATTAACTACAGATAGGCACCCCATGATCAGGTCTTCATTTCTAGCTTGATTCCGCTAAACCCCATGTTTGAAGCATGTAGAGTCTTCAGCAATAAGGTCTTACTTACGTTCATGTTCTGGAACAAAACCGAAGATGATAATTTGTTGTTTTGGGAGCTTCTTTGACTCCTCTGACCAACAGCTTGACAGGAGGTTTTCTGTAAGGCAAGTGTTCTTTAACAAAGGGGAAACTGTAGCTTTAAGATGCTTTTGAACACTGCCAGTCATTACTGGCTTAGCATTTAGTCTAAGGCCTAAGTCTAGGTCTCTACACATTTAGCACTAGGCATTCTCTTACAGCAGGCATAAGAGTATGGCCCTCTCTTTCCATCGTATGTTCTAAAAGCGTTGACTAAGGAAAGGGATGTCTTATTTCAGGATGTCCTGTACAGTTTATTTATCCATAAAAGCCGCTTTCCTGCAGGGAACTTTCTGTCACAGGACACTCTTCCCTCAAGGTCCATATGGCACTTCTGTTCCTTATAGTCCCAGGGACATATATTCTCTTCCGCTGTATTGGAAAAGAAAAGCAGTCACATGATCTTTTGGGATACTGTTGGAATTAGTCATTTTTTCATTTAGCAGCTCAACAGTATTTGTTGTATGCCTCTATGTACCGGGGGTGGGGTAGGGGCGGCCTTTCCAAAGCTGTAATTCAGTGAGGGGGAATGTTGATTTCCTACTGTGTACAGGGGAGGGGGCTTTCCAAAGCTGTAGATTCAGGGAGGGGGAATGCAGTGCCTGCTCTCACATGTTTACAGCCTCACTGAGGAAACTAAAGCACAACCAGCAGTTACAACTAAATATAAGAATTAAAAAAGTGGGGGGGCTGGAGAGATGGCTCAGAGGTTAAGAGCACTGACTGCTCTTCTAGAGGTCCTGAGTTCAAATCCTGGCAACCATATGGTGACTCACAACCATCTGTAATGAGATCTGGCGCCCTCTTCTGGCTTGCAGGAATACATGGAGGCTGAACACTGTGTATATAATAAATAAATAAGTCTTAAAAAAAAAAAAGAATTCAAAAAGGGCTAGAGAGATAGCCCAGTAGTTCAGAGCTCTGGCTGCTCTTCCAGAGGACCTAGGTTTGATTCCCTGCACCCACATGACAGTTCACAACTGTCTATAACTCGATTCTCATGATATCTGATGTCCTCTTCTTCCCTTCATGGCCCCCAGGCATGTGCAAAGTGCATAGTGCACAGACATGTGTGCAGGCAAAATACCCATATACATCAAATATTTTAAAAATTTAAAGACTTTAAAAGTCTGTGTAGGTGGTAACTGTTGTAAGTTCCTGGGGGAGCTGTTTTGCTTGGCTTTTGTATTATAAATTAGCAAATGTTGAATGGAAACACTGGGAAAACAAATTCATCTGCCTTTTTAGGGAAACCAGGATATTTCTCAGAGGGTGGAGCTGAAACATGATTTTGTTAGTCAGAGGCTTACTGAAAAAAAAAAAAAAAATATATATATATATATATATATGGTCACATGGTGCGGGAAGGTTGTGCCATGTTAGAGAAGAGAAGTTTAATTTTATCACTATAACTGGGCATGTAGCAAGAGGCTAGTGATGACCTGTGTGTCTGGTCTGCTAGGCCAACTAGTTTCTATTTTGTTCCATAGTGAAATATCACTGAGGAATTTATGCTGTTTCTTCAGTTACAGAATAAAAGGTAGTAAATCAGGAAAGCAAAATGACTAAGTAAAGCATAACGTTAGTCTAAATCCTTACACTTTACAAAAGGGCTTTCCTTCTGATCAGTGAAGTGGTTCTGTAAAGCCTAGCTATCACCTTTAAGTTATAAATGAGGACACTGGCTACGGTGACGTCGTTTCTTCCATCCTCTTATTTGTTTGTCAGGTGTAGAGACACTGTTCTAGATGCTGGGGTATTTTATACAGAACTCCAAACAAACCTCTCCTCTCCTCTTGTGAAATGACCTGCCCATCTGAAAGGAAATGGGCCTAGAGCCCAACACAGATGCTCTGATTCAGAATGTATCTTCCTGCTTGATTACCCAGTCTCTAAAGACAAGTGCATGGCTGTGCATCTAAAACATCAATTCATCTCTTTTGCTTAGTGAATGTTTCTAGTTCTGTAATTGGCTCTTTCTTTCTCCCAACTGCCCAGCCTCCTCAATTCTGATGGACAGAGGAAACTGATAACGGTTTAAGAAGTCTCAGCATTGGGGAAGCCTAGTTCTTTATATTTCTTCCTTTAAACTGGCTTCTCCTAGAATCTATTTGAATTTTAATGTGTGACTAAGAAGTAACTAACTATAACCTTTGATTTCAGGGCTTGTGGGGTATATGCATGTTTGCCTGTGTGTAGATATGTGGGCACATTTGCGCACTTGTGTCTGTGAAGCCACAGGTCGGAACTGGGTGTCTTCCACTCCTAGGTCCCCTGAACTCCTGCCCAATATACCCCTCTCCATTTTCATGTCTTCTTCCATCCTATAATGCACAGACTCTCATTAGTGCTTCCTACGTGCACATGGTGTGGGGCCATCCACCAGACTTTGGGCAAGTTAGCCACAGCCCACAACTTCTTCACCTTAGTGTTTGAGACAGGCAGGGTCTCTCACTGAACATGGAACTGGTGGATCGACTAGACTGGCTGGCGAGGGAGCTCCCAGACCTGTCTGTTTCCATCCTCTCCCACCTCTATAGCAACACCAACACCTCCATCTTTTACATGGGTGTCGGGAATCCACATCCGGACCTCGTGGTCACATAGCAAACACTTGACCCACTGAGCCACCCAAGCCCCCGAAATTTGGATTTTTTTTTTGCAATAGAAAAAAGATATAGTGTTAATAGCCAAGTTTAATTAAGATATCAGGGAAATGTTTCTAGCAGTTTAGGGATTGTTATAATAGATAACTGTTTGTTCAACTTGCAGCAGTACCTTGAGGATAACACTGTGGATGCTGTGGCCTTTCGGAAGAGGGCGAAGGAGTTACTGCAACTAGCAGCCAGAACATTGAAGGAATTGGGAGTGCCCTTCTGGCTGAGCAGTGGAACCTGTCTAGGTAAAAATGCTTTTATGTGTACCTCTATCTCATCCTTTTGGCTTTAGGGGTGAATATTTGAGGTGATAAAGCATCAGTAATATTGGAAGTATAATATTTATAAGCAGAATAAATATTATTAATGTATGAAGCAAAGATGTGTTTACTCCTTTAAAGAAAGTAATTGATGAAATACAAAATAAAATTTAAGACTTATTTATGTATGTTTTTTGTATTTGCATGTACTGGTTTGCATGCCAGAAGAAGGCATCAGATTCCATTATAGATGCTTGTGAGCCAACGTGTGGGTACTGGGAATTGAACTCAGGACCTCTGGAAGAGCAGTCAGTGCTCTGAACCTGAGCCATCTCTCCAGTTCTATAAAATAGAATTGTAAGGCCACTTGTTAGAATTATAATAATGTGTACAAATTTACATCAGACATGTAGATTATATTTGGCTTTCAGGTAATCTTTCAATTAGCATTTTGCTATTACTGTCTCAGAGATTATGACTGCTTTAAATTAAATATTGCAGGAAACATTTCCAGTGAGAGGAAGATTGACAGGCTTGCTTAAGGTCATCCATAAGTTTTCCACGTCATTGAGGGCGGCTCTAGTTAGGCGTCACTGTTTACCTGAGAGGGGAAAAGACACTTTTTGTGGTTTGAAGCAGCCAGCGCTTAGAATCTGAAAAAGGTTTCTGGATGCACCATTCATTACATCAGCTTCTTGGACTTTAGAATTACTTAAATCCTTAAGATTTTTTTTTTCTGTTCCTTCTCAGTTGTTATTGTAGTTGATTATAATTGTATCTGGTTTTTTGGTTATGACTATATTTGTACTAAAGTTAATTCCAGTTAGTTCAACTTTTAAAAAGTTACTGTAGAATTTATTTTCCAGTTCAGGATACTTTGAGACTGAGAGAAAATGCTTTTGATAATTATGCATGTGCAACAGGTGTGGCCTGGGACTTGTGGCTGTCCTGTATACTGGGCTGCGTGAAGATTAGGTGCTTAGACTTGGTGAGGCACAAGCCCAGGGGGAAGATAGGGGTGGCTCACAAGTTCAAGGCCATAGCAGCCTAGCAAATTCAAGACCCAGCTGGGAACTGTGACACCTTGTCTCAACAACCAAACAGTAAAAGCATGAAAGAATACATGGTAATCTCTTGTGAATGCATATTGGCTTTTAGGAGCATGTTTGTTTTTATAGTCAGTAACCAAAAATGTTTAGTCATTTGTCAAGATTTGAGTTTTTAACCTTGTGGTTTATTTTATTTACAAAACAAAAAAGTTCTATTTGCTACTGTATATTAACTGATATTTAAGGACCACTTTATTTTTAGGTTTTGGTAGGGTTTTTTTATCTTTTTTTTATATATATTTGTTTTTTGTATTTTAAGCAAGGTCTTACTAGTTAGCCCTGGCTGGTCTAGAACTCTTTATGTAGACCAGACTGGCCTTGAGCTTACAGAGATCTACCTGTTTCAGCCTCCTAAGTGTTGAGTTGAGTGCTGCAACACCCAGCAAACCCTTCGTTTTTAATAGTTCATAATTGTTATTAGAATTCTTATAAAATTTTGAATAATATTTTATAATAGCAACGCCTACTGGGATGACTATAGACACTTACATATTTTCAAAACCATTGGAGTGGGAAGATTCGAAGCTAGTTGGGAAGACTTGGGAGTTACTAGTGATGTTCAAGAATAAGCTTTCTTAGACCTCTGTCGGGGCACCTAAGCAGGATGTCGATACACAGGAAGCACTGAGGAATAGCGTTGGGTGTGCACTGAGTATCACACCTTAACCAGATCATTTATGTGCCCTGTCAGTTGTGAGCCGTGGGAGCTGTTAAGTGCTATAGATTATGGACTCCGGAAAGTATATTAAGAGAGTTAAATGTTCTTAGCACATCTTTAAGCAGTCTCAATCATTAAACGTTAATGATTAAACACTGAGCAGCAATTGTTTAAGTGGATGGCTCAATTAACATATTATTAAAGCTAATGATCTATTTGGAAATTATTATGTATCCTGAAAGCGTGTTTTTTTATGCGGGATCTCACTGTGTAGCTCTTGCTCTTCTGTGTACTGAAGGTGTCAGCCACCATGTTGACTTCATTAAAACTTTTGAGGAAGCTGAGCACTCAGACAGGAGTTGGGGATGGGGGGAAGGGAACTGACTCTTAAGGTAACTACTATGACCAAGTTCTTTAGTATAGCCATTACTATAAAGTTTGTTCATGATGACAGCCAATTTTCCAAATATAATCTAAACATTTTTATCTCCTCCCCCTTTTAGGATGGTATCGGCAGTGCAGTATTATCCCTTATAGCAAAGATGTCGACCTAGGAATTTTCATACAAGATTACAAACCTGATATTATTTTGGCATTTCAGAATGCGGGACTTCCACTCAAACATAAGTTTGGGAAGGTTGGTGACAATCCACTTAGTTTCATTAATAACGTGTCTCAGTTGTAAAGTTTACCTTAGTTTATACATAATTAAAGGTATGTGGCAAACAATTTTATGATCCAGCAGCACTTCCCAGGATGGACTGGGGAAGCTTGTCATCCCTTAACATTTCTGTACTACTAAGTAAAAGTTCAAAAACATGGCCTTTTATTAATAATGATGAAAAGAGGATCGAGTTGTTTTTTTTTTGTCCCCCTCCCCCTTGAGGCAGGGTTGGACTGACCTTGAACTCACAGAGCTCCTCCTGCCTCTGCCTCTGAGTGCTGGGATTCAAGGCTAGCGCCACCCTAGCCTGGCAGATGTAGGTTCTTGATAAGTGACTATATTGCCATTCTGTTATGCTATAGTAAGGTATAAAATTAATATAAAGTAGAATCCCCACCTACTCTATTTGAAGTTAATTTTTTCTGAGTCATCTAATTAAATGCTCACTTTGGATTGGATGTTATACTAATCATGAGCACAGGTGTCCCATTGATGGCTAAGGACAGAGGTACGGAGCCACGTGTAACAAGTGCTTGAGGTTCTTGTTTGGTTCACACGTGCTGAGGTGAACAACTTCTCAGAGGCTAACGTGGGCAAGGGCACTGTGGCTGAGATGGACAGTTCGATTGCTCTTCTGAAAGCGCATGATCCTCTATGATAGCCCTGCTCATCATTTGTCCCAGGGAAGCAGGAACCTACAAAGAAAGCCAATTTTTTTTTCATTCCCGGAAAACTATTTTTCCCCATCAGAAGTAATCTTTCTAATTTATTTTTTAAAAAAAAGAGTGAATGTTTCCTGACGCCAAAGCAGTAGCTTCCGGCATTCCGCAAATCCTCCCTGGCTGCTGGCCACTGTCTGACACTGTGCGTTGCAGTGGGACACACAGATGGGTGCATTAGCCTTCATCCCCTTGAGGGTCACGAAAGTGACTGTGTGGTGCTATTGAAGACACGTACACCAGTCCGATGTGAACTTTACTTTTACACTAAGTTTCCTTTCCTTTCCTCATTTAGTTAGAAGGGGGCTCTGGAATATGGTGCTTCGATATCCCCCTGAGAGGGACAGTTTTAGCTACCATGAGGCATTTACTCATGCACTGTTACCAGTTTAAGAAACATGATTTTATGAACACTTAAGAAAAGCTACTATAGTATCCCACTTTCACAGGGATTTAAGTTTAAAAAGCATGCATCCTAAAATTAATACTCACTATATAAAACATTTTCCTTATAAAATATGAAAGTGAATTTCCGCTGTTTCAGGCTGTGATATGACAATGTGAAGGCTTTCGTTGTCCCCGCAGGTGGAAGACAGCTTGGAGCTCTCCTTCCAGGGCCAGGGGGACGTAAAGCTTGACATTTTCTTCTTCTATGAAGAGACTGACCATATGTGGAATGGAGGCACCCAGGCCAAAACAGGAAAAAAGTTTAAGTATGAATCAGATAAGTACTTACTAAACGGGGCTATGGGAGCAGTTTCAGAAAGGAGAAAATCCCCCAAGGCTCCATCAGCAGCTAACATGCTCTCAGCTTTCCTGGAATCCAGCTCTCCTGGGAGGTTCTCAGGGGCACTCGCTCTGCACTGGTCTGAGAGAAGGGAGTCTTACCAAGGCTGTCAATCAAGGCCCTGAGTTACCACAGCAATCTGACAATGCTATTTCTCTTGGGTTCATCCCGTCCTCCTAGGGTCCCTGAGTCTGCATCTGAACTGTATAAAGTAAATTTGTTCTGAAGGTTTGGAACCAAACCTTCTGGAAGTTATAAACTATCCTGTAGTTGACTCTGATCCTAGAACGTACTCTTGGAACTTTTGTTAATTATAAAAACAACTTAGCTTTATGACAACACACTCTACTGAGTAAAATCTGAATATAAGATACATAGAAATAACAACTCAAAAAGAGAGAAATGGGGCTTAGCAGGTAAGACACTTGCTACCAAGCCTAACAACCTGAGTTGGATCATTGGGGACCTCCACTGTGGACGGAGTGACTGACTCCCAGAAATGGCGCTATGAGCTCCATACATGCAACATGCTGTACCCACCTACACATGTGCATACAGAAATAAATTAGAAGTGATATAAAATCTTAAATATGCTTAGAAATAAGTAAATCAGTGAGTATATGTGTGTCTTAGTTTGGGTTGCTGTTGCTGTGGTGAAGCACCATGACAAAACACAAGCTGGGGAGGAAAGGGTTCCTTGGCTTCCACTTCCACAGTGTAGTTCATCATTGAAGGACTGGAACGTAAGAAGGACAGGAACCTGGAGGCGGGAGCTGATGCAGAGGCTGTAGAGGGTTTATCGAGGGTGCTCCTTACTGGCTTGCTTACTCAGCCTGCTTTTACCTTTATTCTCTCCTCATATATTACATTCCTACTGCAGTTTTCCCCTCCTTTCCCTACTCCCACCTCCTGTCTTTCCCAGCTCTCCTCTCCTCCAAGCCCACCCACATTCCATCTCCCCTCAGAACAGAGTAGACCTCCCAGGGACGCCAACCAAACAGGACATAACAAACCACAGTAAGACCAAGCACATACCATTACATCAAGGCTGAACAAGGCTGACCCAGTAGGAGGAAAAGGGTCCCACAATCAGGCAAAAAAGTCAGAGATAACCCCACTCTCACTTTTAGGATCTCACAAGAACACCAAGCTACTCGGCCATGATATATTTGCAGAAGGCCTAGGTCAGGCCCCTACAGGCTCCCTGATCTCTGCGAGCCCCTGGGAGTCCTGGTCAGTTGACTCTGCACTGGTCTCTTTGATGAAGCTTCTGCTAGACTCCAGTCCCAGAACACTCTGCAGGCAGGACAAACTGTAGATTGAAGGTTTTGTGACTGGATTGGTGTCCCAACCCTTCTGTTTGGGGCCTTTCCTGGTTACAGAAGATGACTGGACTAGTTCAGGCTCTGTGTTCCCCATTACTAGGGGTCTTTCTTTGGTAGAGTTACTCTTATAGATTCTGTGGAGTTTCCATTCTACTAAGTTTCTACCTCGCCTGCTGTAACATGAGGGGCCAGCTTGTTGGGGTTTCTGTCCAGCCCTGTACCCCACAGCCAGCAAGCCCCAAAGAAAATCACACACAAGACTCCATAAGATTATAAACTGATTGGCCCTTAGCTCTGGCTACTTATTAGCTCTTATAACATATATTACCCCATTATCCTTATCTACGTTAGCCATATGGCTTGGTACTTTTTTCAGCTGTCAGCTCACATGTTGCTTCTTCGGTGGTCTGGGCAGGACTGGCGGAGGGAGCTTCCTGCTTCCCAGAATTCTGTTCTCATTGCATCATCTCTACTTCCTGTCTGATTTTCCTGCCTATACTTCCTGCCTGGCCAATCAGCATTTATTTAAAATATAACTGACAGATTACAGACAATTCTCCTGCACCAGTCTCCAACATGCCCCCAATTGCAGTCATTTCTCTAAGTATTCCCCCCCAACCCTAACACACACACCTAATTCCTCCTATTCCCAACCCCACTAACCCCTAGTCCTCTTGTAAAATCTATTTTATTTCCCCTTCCCAGGGAAATTCTTCTGTTCTCTGTCGTGCCCCCCCCCTTAGGCCTTTCTTATTACTTAGCTTCTCTGGGTCTGTGGACCATACATAGCGTGATTGTCTTTTACTTTACAGCTAGCATCTTCTTATAAATGAATGCACACCATGTTTGTCTTTCTAGGTCTGGGTTACTTCATTCAGGATGATTTTTTTTCTAGTTCCATCCGTTTGCTTGCAAATTTTTGGTGTCATTGTTTTTAACAGCTGAATAGCTCTCCGATGTGTAAATGTACCTCACTTTATTTATCCATTCTTTGATTGAGGGATATCTAAGTTATTTCCAGTTTCTGGCTATTATGAATAAAGTTATTATGAACAGAGTTGAATAAGTGTCCTTGTGATAGGATGGAGTGTTCTTTGGGTATATGCCCAGTATATGGAGTGGTATAACTGGATCTTGAAATAGATTGATTCCCAACTTTCTTAGAAACTGTCATATTGATTTCCAAAGTGACTGTACAGGTTTTCACTCCCACCAGCAATGGAGGAGTGTTCTTGCTCCACATCCTCTCAGCATAAGCTGTTAATTGTGTTTTTGATCTTAGCCATCTGACAGGTGTAAGATGGGCTCTCAGAGTAGTTTTGATTTGCGTGTCCTTGATGACTAAGGTTGTTGAACTTTTCTGTAGCTGTTTCTGTCACTTGCAATTCCTCTGTTAAGAATTCTCTGTTTAGATCTCTATCCTATTTTTTTATTTGGATTATTTGATTTGTTGATACTTAATTTCTTGAATTCTTTATATATTTTGGATACTTCTTCTCTGTCAGATGTGGAGTTGGTGAAAATCTTTTTCCATTCTGTGGGCTGCCATTTTGTCCTAATGATGGTGTCCTTTGCCTTACAGAACCTTTTCAATATCATGAGGCCCCATTTATTAATTGTTGATCTTGGTACCTACAGTATTGGCGTTCTGTTCAGGAAATTGTCCCCTGTGCCAATGCATTCAAGGCTATTCTCCACTCTTTCTCCTATCAGGTTCAGTGTATGCACACAAAAATTCACAAAGAGAATTATAGACCAATGTCCCTCATGAGCACGGATGTAAAAATACTCAGTAGAAAACTCAAAAACAGAATCTAAGAACGTATCAAAAAGACCATCTACCATAATCATGTAGGTTTAATCCCAGAGATGCAAAGAAGGTTCAATTTATGAAAATCTGTCAATGTAATCTACCATATAAACAAACTGAAAGGAAAAACAAACAAACACATGATCATCTCATTAGATGCCAAAAAACCCTCTGACAAATCCAACACTGCTTTATGTTATAGTTCTGGAAAAATCAGAGATACAAGGGACATACCTAGACATAATAAAGACAGTTTACAGTCAGCCTACCTTCTTTCAGAACACAGGACCGGCTGCCCAGGGATGGCCCCACCCACAATGGACCTAGCCCTCCCCCATAATCACTAATTAAGAAAATGCCCTACAGCCGGGCAGTGGAGGCAGAGGC